TGGTGTGCCTCTAATAAACGTATACGATACTTGGAGTTCATCTTCTGATTTATAAACCGAGCTATAAGAACACGCAGTTACCGGCACACTACATAATGGTGAGCCCAACGTCAACGAAATTGGCCACCATACAAAATGGTGAGCCCAACGTCAACAAAATTGGCCACCATACATAATGGTTAGCCCGCCGTTGAATCTAACGTACTCATCACAAATCTGCCCGACGTTCTCAGGATGTTTCCTGATGTTGACGAAAATTTGAACGCTTCCAATTAATTGGTAATTTCGACGTAGAATCGAATGCAATCATTCTTCCGTGCATTCGCTCGCCAGTGCACTACAAAATGGTTATCCCGACGTCAGCAAAATCGGCCACCGTACAAAATGGTGAACCAGTCGTTCATTCATATCACTCCCTATTTGCTTCGCTCGATTCATTCGTCCATACGTCTTCACAGAAGATCAGTAAACTCTCACTACATAATTCGATGATTCCGATGACAAATCGAATATAACCAACCAGTTGGTAATCTCGAGGACAAATCGAACAGAACCACTAACTGGAAATCCCGACGCCATGCAGCGACAAAGCAGTTCTCATACTTAATGCATTAGCTGAACGAATCAAGCATTATCTTATCGTCATTTTGATTATGTACCAACTCATCGCATTAATATAGTTCTCGAAATATCGCTATCATTATCGTATTAATGAGAAAGAACCATTATTATGATTAATCATGATATTATGACAATAATGGAATTATCTTAATCGCTAATCGAATCGCATTACGAATATTGTGTTCACGGCAGGACATTTGCAACTCACGAAATTATTTTACTTCTTTCGATACCACGAACGACGTTCATGATTAAGGTGAGTTCATTCCATTTATTTTGCCGTATCGCATTATCATGTTTCGAATCGCTTAATAAAGCAATGGCTCAACGACAATTATCGTCCATTAATATTTCCGTGGCTATACGATTATCGCATTGGAGATATCTTCGATGTACTCATCAGCTGCTCGTACTCGAAAATCTTGCAGCCTGCTAAGTAAATTGGTGGTATGATCTTACGCACATGCACACGAAGCAGCAGTTCATGCAGTCGAGCGAACCTCCTGCACGCTGATATTAGCATGTTTTTCGACTACCCCAACGCTGGCAACGGTTTGCAACGCTATCATACACATAAGTTTGGAGTCATATACTCAATGGTAATAACTTATGTTCTCTATATGCATTTGATTTCCATGCATCGCATCTGTACGCAGCTTTATTCTCCAAATTTTTTCACGATAATCTCGACCGCAATTTCTTCACCTATGTGCAGCCACTCGATTTATCGATGAGCCTTACCGTAATGTCTATGCGACTATCGAATTCCGTCTTAACTGTCATGCCTAAACGATAATAAATGTTTTGCAGCATTTGTATTACATTTTCGTATCGTACAACTGCTCCTATTGTATTCTATTCGAAATCGATTATTTTTGCTAATAACCGCTTACCACATATTTTTGATCTTCTGTTACTATGCGAACTTACGAACGTACTCGGACAAGGTAACTTTAATTTTCGTACCTTTTGATGCATTCCGACGATTTTGATTTTTTTTTCTCGCAAACAAAGACATTTTCGTATCCTTGTTTGCTGGAAGGGGGCTATTGTAGTACCTCCACATATATTCCAGTACTCTTACATCTAACTTGGTTAAGCCCTTTCGATTAATTTATTTAGCCAAGCCATTTGTATAGCAACAACTCATATGTACCATTGGTATTTTTTATTATCTGCTTTGTATGAGCTTGTACGACTGAGCATTGCTTACGCTTACGCACTTACTCATCCTTTTCGCTTTAATGTTAATCTCTTAATATCCTCATGAACTCACATGATTCGTATCGCTTGCTTTTGATCTTGTCAATCATTCGTCGCTTTTATTCATGTGTGTGCATATCTATTTCGCTTGTCATATGTCTGTCTTATTCTTATCTGACTATATATTCTTAGTCATACTCTATCTCTTTGAGTTGGCTCTTAGCCTTCTCCAATTCGCTTCTCCGATTCGCATTGTGGTGTGCCTCTAATAAACGTATACGATACTTGGAGTTCATCTTCTGATTTATAAACCGAGCTATAAGAACACGCAGTTACCGGCACACTACATAATGGTGAGCCCAACGTCAACGAAATTGGCCACCATACAAAATGGTGAGCCCAACGTCAACAAAATTGGCCACCATACATAATGGTTAGCCCGCCGTTGAATCTAACGTACTCATCACAAATCTGCCCGACGTTCTCAGGATGTTTCCTGATGTTGACGAAAATTTGAACGCTTCCAATTAATTGGTAATTTTGACGTAGAATCGAATGCAATCATTCTTCCGTGCATTCGCTCGCCAGTGCACTACAAAATGGTTATCCCGACGTCAGCAAAATCGGCCACCGTACAAAATGGTGAACCAGTCGTTCATTCATATCACTCCCTATTTGCTTCGCTCGATTCATTCGTCCATACGTCTTCACAGAAGATCAGTAAACTCTCACTACATAATTCGATGATTCCGATGACAAATCGAATATAACCAACCAGTTGGTAATCTCGAGGACAAATCGAACAGAACCACTAACTGGAAATCCCGACGCCATGCAGCGACAAAGCAGTTCTCATACTTAATGCATTAGCTGAACGAATCAAGCATTATCTTATCGTCATTTTGATTATGTACCAACTCATCGCATTAATATAGTTCTCGAAATATCGCTATCATTATCGTATTAATGAGAAAGAACCATTATTATGATTAATCATGATATTATGACAATAATGGAATTATCTTAATCGCTAATCGAATCGCATTACGAATATTGTGTTCACGGCAGGACATTTGCAACTCACGAAATTATTTTACTTCTTTCGATACCACGAACGACGTTCATGATTAAGGTGAGTTCATTCCATTTATTTTGCCGTATCGCATTATCATGTTTCGAATCGCTTAATAAAGCAATGGCTCAACGACAATTATCGTCCATTAATATTTCCGTGGCTATACGATTATCGCATTGGAGATATCTTCGATGTACTCATCAGCTGCTCGTACTCGAAAATCTTGCAGCCTGCTAAGTAAATTGGTGGTATGATCTTACGCACATGCACACGAAGCAGCAGTTCATGCAGTCGAGCGAACCTCCTGCACGCTGATATTAGCATGTTTTTCGACTACCCCAACGCTGGCAACGGTTTGCAACGCTATCATACACATAAGTTTGGAGTCATATACTCAATGGTAATAACTTATGTTCTCTATATGCATTTGATTTCCATGCATCGCATCTGTATGCAGCTTTATTCTCCAAATTTTTTCACGATAATCTCGACCGCAATTTCTTCACCTATGTGCAGCCACTCGATTTATCGATGAGCCTTACCGTAATGTCTATGCGACTATCCGATTCCGTCTTAACTGTCATGCCTAAACGATATTAAATGTTTTGCAGCATTTGTATTACATTTTCGTATCGTACAACTGCTCCTATTGTATTCTATTCGAAATCAATTATTTTTGCTAATAACCGCTTACCAAATTGTTTTTTGATCTTCTGTTACTATGCGAACTTACGAACGTACTCGGACAAGGTAACTTTAATTTTCGTACCTTTTGATGCATTCCGACGATTTTGATTTTTTTTCGCAAACACAGACACTTTCGTATCCTTGTTTGCTGGAAGGGGGCTATTGTAGTGCCTCCACATATATTCCAGTACTCTTACATCTAACTTGGTTAAGCCCTTTCGATTAATTTATTTAACCAAGCCATTTGTATAGCAACAACTCATATGTACCATTGTTATTTTTTATTATCTGCTTTGTATGAGCTTGTACGACTGAGCATTGCTTACGCTTACGCACTTACTCATCCTTTTCGCTTTAATGTTAATCTCTTAATATCCTCATGAACTCACATGATTCGTATCGCTTGCTTTTGATCTTGTCAATCATTCGTCGCTTTTATTCATGTGTGTGCATATCTATTTCGCTTGTCATATGTCTGTCTTATTCTTATCTGACTATATATTCTTAGTCATACTCTATCTCTTTGAGTTGGCTCTTAGCCTTCTCCAATTCGCTTCTCCGATTCGCATTGTGGTGTGCCTCTAATAAACGTATACGATACTTGGAGTTCATCTTCTGATTTATAAATCGAGCTATAAGAGCACGCAATTATCGCCACACTACACACTCTCCAATGTCTTCGTATATCTCTATCTCAGTTTAATAATCAGAAAGATCCTGAGCTTCATTTCGAACTGCATTTTGGGTTGATTCCAAGGCTAACGAAATTCGTTACTTGACGAGAAGTCAACTTAGTGCAGTCACCTCACAAATTTTCCTAACTCTGATTACAACATTCGCACGGCCAAAACTCTAGGTTCATATAACCTCAAAAGAGATGTTAATCTCGTTAATAGAATTTTAAGGTGAGCAATTTGATGGGTGATTGGTTTAAAGAACAAACCTTTCGAAGATTGACTCCAGGAATTACGCTCGGTAACCACGCCCGGTAAACAATACTGCACTGAGGCAAACACATTTACGCAAATCACGGGATACAAATAACTGTCAAATAGACAGGATTTGCGAGGTCCAGGCTAGACTACCATAAAATGGACTTTGCCAAATTCCCGAAATCCTACTGATAGAATTAGAATCGAGCGTATAGTAATCAGTTGGTGTTAAATAGCTCATGAGAAAGATATTGGATGCAAACAATGGGTTATTAGTAGTTTCTGTCTAAAAAGCTTCCTTTTTATGGCAAGATATCCAAAGACTTTACTACTGACCAGAAGGACTTAAACCCTAATAACATGGTATTTTAAGATTTTAGATTAACCTTAAATGACTCATACTAGTTTTTACTATGTTTTTCCTTTCGAAACGAAGTAGTCTACTGATTTTGTTTAGATTGATCATAAGAGCGTCACTAGCTACTCGCTCAAGAGCGCGATGACTGAGATTTTCCACTACCCTGAAGAAAAGATTTTTAAAACTTCGTTTTGGTCAAGCCCATTTTTTTCTATGCGAATACTGTGATAGTTTTATTTCTTGCTCTAGTTATTATTCTTTTTTACCAGAAAAGTGAGTAGTTCGATATTTATTCTTATACATCTAATGTAGATATTTGTATAGATTTCAGATATATTCCGATTAGGATGGGTCCCTGTTCCCCTGAACTAAGCCAGGCATTCATTTGGATTTATACTGTTGATGAAAAAAGTCGAATCGGTTACAAGCTATGGTCTAGTACGAACGTGGTATTGAACTCGGTGGGAACTGACCACTTCCTATCTGAATCGCTAAACTACCTCAGCTATGAAGATCCTGAACCATGGCCATCAAAAAATGTAGGAAAATTAATATATAAGGCCATCGAAATTTCAGCTGATATATATAACATTACGAATTTCAATATAATCGGAACGAGTCTTTTCATTCCGATAACTTGTGGTTTGCAAGTAAGTTTTTGATGTCATTAATTTTTGAAATTTGTCTTTAGCATAAAGAATAGTTTTGTTCTGCTCATTTTCCTATGAAGTATCTAAAAGTAATCTAAATCATCGGCGAAATTCTGTAAAATTCAGCATATTATTTATTCATTGAATGAACATACAAGTAGCACACAAGCATAAAATATTTTTTTCTGTGAAAACATAAGTGCTAACAATTAACACTTTTTCTGTTATGCAGCACAAAGAATATCTTGAAGAAAGTTTACTGACAATTGTCATAAAGTATATGATGGTTTTCATACATCGTTTATTTCAAAAATGTTGTTGGATATCACCTAATTCTCTTTTCGCTTCCATTTGGCCTTGTGAAATTCGTGAATGAAATCTAACTGAGAACCAGGTGTCGTAAAAATTTGTATGGCCACTAACTTGCTAGTAAAAATTCATTGATATAGTCGTTTTGTGATTACTCTAATTTGAATCACTCAGTTAGATTTTTGAATATGACCTGAACAAGTCAATAACGAATAACAGCATATCACGCATCTCTGTTGATCCTTAAATATCGGAAAATGACAGTTATAAAAGATTTAAGAAATTAAATTCACTTGCACTATTTAAACAACCCATGATATTGTCAGTCTGTTTATATTTGATATGATCAAACCCATAAGATCTAAGACATTTAGTTATCTAAGTCCATTATGTTAAATCATATCAAAACCTACTCTCAAAATGTGGGCACTACATGAATTTTAACTTACAGGTTACAATTTCAGATCTTGTACCTAACAACTTCAGTATGAACTAGCTAGGTGATACAATAAAATCTGACATACATAAACCAATATGTGATGAGTTACATTTATGGAAATACGCTACTATTCATGCATTCTAGCGATATGTTTCGGAAAGTTTTCGAGATAGGATTGATGAGAAAGAACACTTCAACAGATTTCTACACGTAACCTAATGTCAATCGTAGTATATTATTAGACCTTTCTTTGAAAAATTGTTTCATTTACGCTTTGTTTTAAAAAAAACCTTTTTTTAGCAAAACGATGAAAAATTCTCAATGAACGTGGCTGGATTAATATGGAATGAATTCCTTTCCCAAACACCAATAACTGATTTATTCATTCAAAGTGGATTAACTATCAAGCAGACTCAGTCGATTAAATTGCATGGGATGGATCCAGTTGAAAAGGAGAACTACATGGTAAGTGAATGAAACGTAAGCATTGTAGTTACAGATAAGTGATGAGGAGCAGTCTGTAATTTGTCAATGCTTTAAATCTTTTATCCACATGGAGAATGGAAGTTTCAAGATTAGATTATCTTGATCAAAGTGCACAACAAATTCTCTAGGTGATAGCTGTAGATAACGAAAACTGCTTCCAGTCACAAGGCATGTGACTGAGTATGTATTCAGGGGAATAAACTTGTATTTATTTAATTAAAATAGCCGGTATTGTATTACTGGTCAGAGTAGGAATAAACAGGGTCAAAATGCAGTCACCTCATTCAAATCCTGTTGGTAATTTTGGATCTTATAGCTTTCATCCTTAATGTATGGCTTCTTGGTTTCTACAGAAAAGGAAACAATGGACGGAATATCAGACGTGATAGATCCCCTTTTATTTTGTTCCGAGGTAACCTGCATGACTCTGGCAAGTGTTTGCCTGGTTTTTGATTTCCAGTTGCTAACGCCATGAGAAGAAATTTCTTTTGAAGGGATTTGAGGTGAAAACTGGGTAAGTGATAGTCATGAAGACTTTCGAAAATGACTGAAGAGCCTAAGAGAAAGCTGCTTGTGGCCGTCAACACATGGCCTGTTCGTGAAGAGCTTCCGATGCTTTAGCTGTATAATTCGAAAACTTTACAACCAGAATCTAAAATCTGTATAATAGAGCAAAGTGTGCTACTTTTGGCAGCCACTCTTATTAACCTTTTTGTATCAATTGTGCCGATGTGGGAAGGCTAAAAATATTGATTATCTTGATGAGACAACTTACTGCTGACAAGTTTTTCATGACTTTTTCCTTGGACTTCACTTTGGTTTCAATCATTACTGACCTGAAATCGATCTATTTAAATTTTAGGAACCAAAAGTCAGGTGTCCCAGCCTATATAGCCCGACTAAGTCATAATGATAGGCACACATAACATGAGTGTGAACATGTTGACTTCAAAAAATAGACTCGTAAATTACCACCTATCTCACATTCGATTCTGATATGGCACAGTCATGAGATACACATGTGAAAGCTCAGCCTAACAATTAGAACAATGTATGGAATACTTGATTTCAATTTATTCAGTCTAAGGGAAGCGTTCTCACATCGAGACCTCAATGCTTTAGATATACAAACTGGGCAGAAGTAGTTAGTTTATGAGACACAACAACTCTTTGGTCACTTGTGATCTTTGAACATTCTCTATTTTTTTAACCGTCTATGACGAGAATTTTCATCAAGTGCAGCTGAGAAAATTCATCCCTTTATATTTCTGCCACATACATATTGTGTTTCCTTTCTAACCTACAGAGACCTGCATTGAATATGAACACTGTACGTTATAATTCATTAATTTCTGATTTAAACAATGCAATGTATGATATGATCGATAGAAATTGTAAGTTTTCTCTTCTAAATGATAAAATTAAAGTATTTTCTTGAAAACGAATTGCAAAAAGGGGTTTATTCCTATAATATTATTGTAAGTGTTGAATTGAGTAACATTAAGCCAGTTAAATAAAGTGCATACCCGTTGCACAAGTGAGTGGCAGCTATCTTGAAACAATACAGCTAAGTGGTTAACATGATGGTATTTGAAGCGAACGGTACTAGGTTGGGATCTTGTAATGAATGTCAATACTGTGATGCAGGCACATTCGATTGACAAGCCCCGAAAATAGAACAAAACACCTGTCCTGGATTTCACCGCTCACCACACATTCTATGCGGAACATTGAGTGGTTTCATTGCGATTAGAGTTCAAGTTCAAAAACGTTGTATGATCAATAAATTCTAGAATACACAAATCATTCTGTATTTTAGAATGAATTCACATTGATGAATAAGATCGAGATATTTAAAGTTGACAGGGTTTCCAGTCGAATGCTACCAATCATTCAACAATTCTGAGATATATAACTGAAACTAGAGACTCGTGAGAGTCATATGTATATATATATATATATAATTCCTGAGCAGTGCAACTTCGCCACGACCGTAGGTGCTACCTTGACGCGATGGTCGGGCTTGCCTATCGTGATGATTCAATTGAGCTGTAATGGCTGGAGCATTTGTTCCTGAAGGTTCTATTATGCCAGGCAGATCGATTGTAGAACGATGAGACTAAAAGCAGCTACTCAAGGTCTGAGAGCGAAGTTGTACTGCTAACCAGGAGTATCTACACTCTCAAAGAAACTAACGCTTCCTATAGAAATCAGATACGAAACAGTCAGTGTCAGAATCAAGCACAAATGTAGGTATGACTGAGATGTTAACAGGTTATTTATTCAGTGAAAAATAAATAGAAACGCTTGTCCATCTAAATGACTAGACCACATGCGCTATGCTTTGACATTTCAGACACACTCACATGGATAACCAGTCCCAACCAGTATGAAACTGAAGTGCAGCAATTCCAGTCATTTACTCTATAACAACTCTATAACATCCAGCAATGTCCTGTGATATTAGGTTGCTTTAGCTAAAATCTCTGTAATACAATTCGGTCGTTATAATCTGTTTCAGTCATAAGAATTGGGAAGAGACATGAGCTCGTATCTTGTTACTCAACGACTGATGTTCTATTTCGGCTAATCCATTCATACATCTTTTCTCGAATGAAGCCAGTGTTGTTTCTCCAGACAGACAGTGAAAAAATAACCTACCTACCCTCATCTTTATCCTAGAACAGCAAGTCTAATCGCATCACAAGCTCGATCATACTCAGTGTTTCCAAAAACTTGTAACATAAATTTTTCTCTGGAGAATAATAGTCGTGTAATACTGGAGTGGAACGTAGACCAGCAGACCATCCAGCCAAGAAAACCGTTAAACAACTCAACTTTCAGTAAGTTTATGCTGAACAAAACCAGATTCCACATTCACGACAAAATTTTGTGCACAGATCCTGTAGAACAATCAAAACTAAGGACACCAGTTTAGGTATCACTACAGATAAGATATTGATGGAATAATGTACACTTGATGAAGTCATTAACACATTCACTTATTTACTTGCATATCAGCTGTGCTCTAAATGTAAGGGATAATGATACTACACCATTGTTCAAGATGGAGTAAGTAAAGCGAAGTCCTGAACCGGAACTTGTCGAGTCAAAGTTGAACAAACCACTTAAGCATTAAAACACCATTCTACATAAATCAACTATCATTTTGTGTATTTCTTCTTTCTTACACACACACTTTCAGTGACAATTCATCTTGGAAAAGTAAATCATTTTGTATCAAAAAGTAAACAATACGCTCAACTATCACAATCATTTCATATTACACTGTTAATAAATCTTCCAAAACAAGAATTATTGTATCCTTTTCTTCATGTTTTCATCATTTTGATTCATGTGTTGTGTAGTTTAGTTATCAATCAGTCAATGTCTAGCAGATAATGAGAAACCATCTGATTGAGTCAATTCATAAAGTTCTCCTAACTAATAGTCTTAAATGTATCAGGGAATAAAGATTTCTTAGTTGCTAGCTAACGTTGATTTATAGTTGGTGACCTAAGATGGTATGGTTCAGAATGATGCAAGCATGTGATTTACGAGGTCCAGGCACTTGGTGGTTATGTTACGTATGCCCAACCACCGACCAACTCGAAGAGCGATGACGCCTGATGTAGGGGCTTGATAGAAAAACGCTAGGGGCGGCCAAAGTAAAACATGGCGAAAATCTATGAAATCACTGAAAAGTGGACTGAGCCACGTTAGTAAGTGTGGACTACCTGGTTGGAGTCTGCGAGACGATAGTAATTATTGGTTAGACCTTGAACGCGCGGCTTAAAATCATTTTCGATGGCGCAAGTACATCCGTTCTTTGTGTTCTCTCAAATTCTAATCTTCGGAAGTCTTCATCACCTTTATCATTCTTTTTCTGAATTTATCTCACTGAATTATACTTTTCGAATCATATCTTCGAAACCTAATATTCTCCATTACTGCTAATACAGTTACTACCTCAACTACTATGGCATTTGAATTGACAATTCAGTATCCGTATGCTAATGTGGTATGGCAACCTGAATTGATGTACGTACGTACGTACGAAGTTCTACATTGTAGCTGATTGACTGAGACATAGATTACCAAGCAGAGATGCAAAATGGGTTGATAAAACTGTGAATATTCAGCGACATGTATCACGTATCCTCAATAATCCCTCAATGAATAATCTTAACCGTCTTAAGAGTGAGTTAGAAACAATTGGGTATACCTAAACTAGTATCACGACATCATTTCCCTAACAATTGTTGGTCTAAGCCATGCGTAATATTCAATGGTAAATTTAACATCTCGCATATTGAATGTGCATGCGCACGTGCAATGCAACTACTTTTCCCATGTAAAGTTCTCCACCTGTCCCTTTCAGTCAGTCAGTTGCAACCTAACTACATCAGTTCATGTTGCCATACCACATTAATACCGAGACGCAATTATCAATCCCAATTCCATAGTGATAGAGATAGTAAAGGTATTAATGGTAATGAAGAAGACTAGGGTTTGATGATATTATTCAAGACGTATAATTCAGTGAGATAAGGTTAGAAAGACAAAGGCAGAGGTATTGACGAATCCAGAAGATTAGGATTTGAGAGAGCTCAAAGAGTGGATGCACCTGCGCCATTGCAAACGATTTTGAGCCATGCCATTCAAGGTCTCTAACCATTGATGACTTTCGTCTCGCGGACCCCAACCAGGTAGTCTACATCTACCAACATGACTCAGTCCACTTGTCAGTGACTTCATGAATTTGTGCCATGTTTTGGTCTGGCGGCCCCTAACTTTCTTCCATCCTACTCCTACACTACAAAACATAGCTCGTCGAGGCAGTCGGTGGTTGGGCATTGGTAACACATGTCCTAACCATCTCAACTGATGAAGTTTCACCAACTCATCTATTGATCTGCCATCCTTAACTAGTACTCGTTTCCTAACGACAACATTGCTTACTCGGTTGTCCCACGATATACGAGCAATGCTTCTAAGACATCTATGATCGAATATTAGTAACATAAGAATATCTTCTACTCTGAACGGCCATGTTACACAGCCATATAGGAGAACAGAAGAACTGCTGTGCAGTACACCAGCCCTTTAGTTAGCGAAAGGATATCACGCCTACGCCATTAATGGCGTAAAGTGGCAAAAGCAAATCGAGCTTCCTGTATCCGCGCTGAGATTTCGTTAGGCCAGGCCACTGACTCCCTAGATAAGTGAAGTGTTCAACACGATCGACTACTTCACTCCCTATCACTAGTTCAGGTGCCGATGCAACTCAGTCTTGAAGCAACATTTTGCATTTCGAGGGAGAAAACCGCACCGCGACACATGCTTGCACTGTTGCTTATGGTAGTCAGAAGATTCTGCATTTTGTCAGCGTCTTCACCGAATAGAACTATGTCATCGGCATATTCTAGATCAGTAAGCGATTTTCATTGTAGCAGGTCCACCCCTGAGAAATCTGACGAGCTTAATGTTAGCTCTAAGAGGATGTCTACGACAAAGTTAGATAACAATGGAGAGAGTGAACAGCCTTGACGGACACCACTTGATGTACAGAATTCCGATGATAGTTCACCATAAGCTCTCACCCGACCAGTGGTGTTCGAGTAGAGAGCTTGTATAAGGTTAATGTACTTCTTTGGTACACCTTTCAATGACAGACACTGCCACAGAACCTCACTATCCACCGAGTCAAATGCCGCTTTTAAGTCCAGGAACACAACTATTGTCGGACGTCAAAATGTGTGTTTGTGTTCCAGAACCCTTTAAGATTCTAGAGCCATTTTAAGCCAATGGTTAACATAGAGCAACTTCTTTATTAACCAATGTGGACTCTCTGCATATATCAAGTTGGATTTCAGCATTTCCACCTCTTATTTTCATAAATAATATCCAACTATGGAGTAGGACTTTCCTGTTAAAGGCTTATAAAACGTATGATGGAACAAGAGACAACTCTCCTCATTGTCAGCGACACTAGGGTATTTTATTTACAGGAGAAGGGAGGCATCACAACGACATGTTTTAAACAACAGTTCAGCTACACATTTTTCTTACAAACAAACAAACAATAACAAAATGTATGCAAAAAAAATCAGATTTGAAACATCATTTATTCATCGATTAAAATGGGCATACATTTTTTACATTTGTTTATGGATAATATTCTATTGGCCAATTCAATGGTTACAACGTTGGGCACTTGAACAACGTCAATTATGGATCTGTTATAATCTAGTTGAATTTAAACAACCTCCAGCACATGTTTATTTAAATCAATTGAAAAATGAATGGTGATTATTGATTGATGAGTGGATGAGTGAATGGATGAAAAACTTCCAAAAGTTGCATTTTTAATAAGTAGACTGTTTTCTTTATTTCAAACTTGATGAAATAATGTTTTGTAAATTTTTACATAGATTGTACATTCATCAGATCATGATGTGTACACAGATAGATGTTATTTATTGATTGGAAGTGCTGTTTTTTAATGAGAAAATATATCTGATTAATTTGTTCTACTCTTTTTATTACTACTTATTCACTAAGAAAACAGTTAGTTATGTACATGGTCAAGCAGGACAGGTATATTCTATCAGTTAAAGTTATTGTCAGTTACTATGTACGTAAATGAGCAACAGTTGCCATACCACATTAGCACCTGGAGCTGCAATTGACAATTCAAATAGCTTAGGAATAGGAGTAGAAGAAGGATTAGCGGTCATCAATCGAAATAATGATCGAAGATATCATTCAAGATGTATACACCCCAGAAGAATCAGTTTATAAAATAAAGAAAATGGGAAGGAAAAACGGTCATCAGGAATACAGAAGATTAGCATATTTGTGAAAATACAAAGAATGAATGCATCTGCGACATTGAAAACGATTTAAAGACATGTCATTCAGCTTCTCTAATCATCGGTCACTATCACCTGGAGGACCGTAACCCGATAGTCTACATTTACCGACATGACTTAATCAAGTTGTCATTGGACTCATAGATTTGTGCCATGTTTTGGTTTGGCCGCCCATAGCAGCTATCTTTCAGCCTAATCCTACACCACAAAACAGCTCAATGAAGCAGTCGGTAGTTGGGCATTCGTAACCCATGTCCTAACCACATCAACTGATGGCGTTTCCAAACGTCATCTATGGATCTTCAATCCGTACTGAGTACTCGATTGTCCTAGGGTATACAAGCAAAGCTTCTCAGATACCGATGATCGAATAATAGTAGCTTACGAATATTCTCTATTCTTACTGGTCATGTTTTACACCAGTAAATTAAAGCAGAGCGATGTGCTGGTCAGTAAACTCATACTTTGGTTAGTACACGGATATCTCGCCTACGCCATAAGTGACGCAAGTTGCTAAAAGCCAATCGAGCCTTCTGTATTCGTGCTGCGATTTCGTCAATCACCAGGTCATTAGCACTGGTGAGACTCCCGAGACAAGTGAAGCGGTCAACAGGCTCAACTGCTTCACTCCCTATCACTAGTTTAGGTACCGATGCAACTCAATCTTGAAGCAACATTTTGCATTTCGAGGGGCAGAACCGCATCCTGAACATGCTTGCATTGTTGCTTATGGTAGTCAGAAGACTATGCATTTGTCAGCATCTTCACCAAGTAGAACTACGCGATCGGCATATTCTAAGTAAACAAGCTTGCCCCGATGAAGACAATGTTATCTTTAAAAGCATGTCTACGACAAAACTAAGCAAGAATGGAGAAAGTAGACATCTGTGACGGACACCACTTGAAGTAATCAATTCGCATGACAGTTCGCCATAAACTCTAAATAGACTAGTAGTGTTCGAGTAGAGAAAGAGAGAGCCCATATAAAGGTTTGTGTACTTCTATGATGCTGCTTTTATTCACGGACAGTGCCATAGAACCTAATGATCGATCAAAATACATGAAACATTATTTGAATTCTGATTAATTAACTCAAAACCATCATTTTTACCATAATTATGTAATTGTATTCTCGTCAATTTTTGTTTGTTTAATTTTCGAATTTGTCTTATTCAACACTTTGTGTTGTTTTGATTTGAATGAAGAAGAGGAGGTTGATTGTTTCTTGGTTCCTGTTGCTGTTCTTTTCATTGACTTCATGTTAGTAAGTTTCACTTCGGTGTGATTTATTAAGTGTGATAGACCAGCGGAACGTATTCCTTGTAATAATTGTTCACGGGCACATTTTAATTCTGTTGATAAATGTTCAATTTCCGGAGCATTCATTAAAGCTGGAATCAGTGTAGATCGAAGCCAACGTGGACTAGAATGACCATCAACCCCAATAAAATAAAGAGTATTAAAAATAAATATTGACCTATGTCTAATTACATAATCAGTCACATTATAATTGTTATGTTTGTTAAATGTCCAATATTGATCAAATTCTACTGATCAAGTTGATCAACAGACGACTATCAATCAGTAATCAACAAACACATCGATATTGATTCAATTTATCAACCAATCAGCAAAATCATAGGTGATCTAGGATCAACAAACAGATCTAAAGTGGGATACAATCAAAACAAAGGTCCAAACAACGACAGGTTCACGGTCAACAGCAACCAATCAAGATTGAGGTTAGCAGAACAGGCTACAAATCAAACGTGGAGAAATTCGAATACTTCCCTGCTATCTGAAGTTTGTGCTGATGATGTTGTTCAGAAGAACAATGAAAGCTCCACAACCAAAACAACCAGCTCAGAGAACGAAACATCACAAAAGACCATGGTTGCCGTATGTAATGTGGAATACTAAACTTGAGAGTAGACAGCTAGAGATATTTGACACGAAGCACTGACTATTCAGGGATAAAGAGTGTCTTTAACTTCAAGGACATTCCTAACGTTTTTGTAGTTTCAACTTGTTTCACACAATAAATGTTAACATTAGACTCTTTGGCTCACGAATAATTTATTACACCTTAGTGTAGTCAGCAGTGCCATTCCACTACCAAACTTTAGGCAAAGGTGTTCAGTCTTATCTCTTTCCAATGGACCTGAATGGTAAGGTAGAATCCAAAAGAAACACGTTTTTCAGTCAATATAGCTCTATCATATCACAACAGTCGTTAGGGCCAGAGATCATCACTTCATTGTGACAACTATAGTCGAACTAAACCGAAGCAGATAAGGTGAAGTTAGTTTGACTGAAGTGGAATTCTCTACACATGCTTAAAAACAAGAGTCCTCTGTTTTGTTCTACCAACATTGTTAGGATATTCACCAAATATCCCGAGAGAATTATTTTGTAAGTCTAATTCTGCTGATTAATGTCTATTGGTCGTCGTACCTGTCAATGTCACATACTTCAAATATTGTTCCCTATTCGATCTCACTGCATACATGTGCATTGTCTGTGTTACGCTCGTCTCTGGGTTTGCTCAAACTATTATGAGTTCACCTTAGTCGAATAACGAGAACAAAACAATGAACCAGCGTTCAGGTAGGCTACTGTGATCTCTTGACCAAATCGAATCAGCAATAAGTTTTGATAGAGCGTAGAAATCGTATTCTACAAACACCCAGCCAGCACACAATCAATCCAAGCACACAAATCGCGTTTACTTATACTCCATAGAGACGTCCTTGGGACAGTCACAAAAATAACACATTAAAATGGCACAGTAACCAATCACAGCCAAGGATTTTCCAGGTGGATAATATGATCTCAAGCTCAACTGACCCGTCCATGAAATAAATCCAAAATAAAGATACTTATAAAGCGAGTTCTGGGGATCTAACATCCCCAACAGTCTAACATTTTATGATCCGGATCTTTAGTCCGGAACCCTTGTTCTCTTCTGGACCTCATATTTTCTGGATGTTTGTAGAATACATTTTCTACTTCATATCAAGTCTTCTCATACTTATAGGGGTTTTGTTGTGATAGTTGCTTAAGATATTTCCCGGCTAAATCTTATTGCTTAGTATTCTTGACACAAAACACTGGACAAGTAACCCAAATCAGAACACGGTTGAACAGGAAGGATTGTATTCCAAAATAGCAAGGAAAAAGAAGCTGGAGGTGATGGCGAAAGCCAAGGCAAAGAAGGCTTGAAGGCGAAGAAGGCAAAGATAAATACAATGCTAGTCTATTTATAGCCTTTTCATGAGAAAACTTCTGGAAGAAAATTCACGTGATCGACTGGACTGGATTTGACCAATCAGCATGCAGCTAATAATACGAGAATTTTCTATCCTGTTCTCCAAGCTTCGATCAGGCGCTGATTGGATAGGGAATTAGCCAATCAGCGCGTAGTGACGTAATCATGCTTTAAATCCATCTATGTCCCACTAACACCTCCCCTTTCAGAAGATTCGTGACACTTGGTTTACCGACCAAGGTGAATTCATAGTAGTTGAAGCATATCAATAAACGTGATGTTGCTGTCCATTGAAACAAACATATAAAATCATGAATAACAGACTTCAGTTGTAAGAACTTACCGAAATAGATTTACTTCATTCCATTCTGACGGTAAACGACATTTATCAATGTCATCATTACCACTGCGAACACTATTTTGTATTGCGATTTCATTTAACCAGCTGAGAACATCACTCCAACCTGGAGTAGTACAAGTATTATCATAATCAGAGGCACTTTTATCTATCAGCATAACTTTTGTTGTACAACAGTGTTCCTGGCAGGAGAAATTGAAATTAAAAATATATTCTCTGTTTTTGTAATAAGTCACTATGATCGAATAATATGTAGATACACACAAGCATTTCAGAAAAGTCAGTCAGCTAAAACGTAAAACTTCGCATGCATATACATCAGTTCAAGATATACATTCGCTTTTTGTCCTACCGATTTTGCAACATAACACTTACATTACAAGAAGCCAGGTTAGTTAGTTAGTAAGCCATCTTTGACCACTGCCTGTATCAGTCAGCCAGTAAGTAAGTTACAACGTAGAACTTCGTACGTAAGTAAATCAGTTCAGGTTGCCATACCACATTAGAACATAGATGCGTTTGTCTATTCAAATCCCATAGTGGTGGAGATAGTAGAAGTATTACTGGTAATGGAGATTAGGATTCAAAGATATTATTCAAGAAGTTGTCCACTGATGCCTATTGTTGCTGTCTTTTCCATCGCTTATGTTTTCGTCAAGCACCACTGTTCGCGATCGTTGCGTAGGCTTTTATCAGCCTACGCTTAAGCTGACTTCGTCCTTCATCATGTTCAGAGACAGGTGGGATGAATTTTGAAGTATCCATCAGTTCGGTAGTTGCTACTGTGATCCACGGCTTCTTCAGAACCTTATGGTTTACCTTACCAGCATATATCACTGCTGTTTCCATAGCTTTTTGGATATCGTTCTATGCTTTTTCCGGATGGGAATCATTTACATGGTCGCTTAACTGTTTTCCTAGTTGTTCCTGAAATATATTCATAGCTTTGCTATCATTAGGTAGAACCCGAACAGGTTTCCTTGCGATGTCTTTCCTACGTCCGGTAAGTCGCAAACAAATATGCGCTAGCCTTAGAGCATGATCTGAATCTAGACAGTCAGTCAGTTGCAACGTAGAACTTCGTACGTATGTACATAAGTTCATGTTGCCATACCACAGCACAGAGACGAAAATGTCAAATCAAATCCCATAGTGATAATGATAGTAGAGGTATTAATGTTAATAAAGAAGACTACGGTTCGAAGATATTATTGAAGAAAAATAATTCAGTGATATAAGGTTAGAAAGACAAAGGCAGAGGTATTGACGAATCCAGAAGATTAGGATTTCAGAGAGCTCAAAGAGTGGATGCACCTGCGCCATTGCAAACGATTTTGAGCCATGTCGTTCAAGGTCTCTAACCATTGATGACTTTCGTCTCGCGGACCCCAACCAGGTAGTCTACATCTACCAACATGACTCAGTCCACTTGTTAGTGACTTCATGAATTTCTGCCATGTTTTGGTCTGGCCGCTCCTAGCTTTCTCCAAATCTACTCCTAGACCACAAGACATAGCTCGACGAGGCAGTCGATGGTTTGGCATACGCAAGACATGTCCCAACCACCTCAACCGATGAAGTTTCAATACTTCATCTATTGATCTGCCATCCTTAACTAGTACTCGTTTCCTAACGACAACATTGCTTACTCGGTTGTCCCACGATATACGAGCAATGCTTCTTAAACATCGATGATCGAATACTAGTAACCTACGAACATCTTCTACTCTTAACGGCCATGTTTCACAGCCATATAAGAGAACGGAACGAACTGCTGCGCAGTACACCAGCCCTTTGGTTAGCGAACGGATATCACGCCTACGCCATAAGTGAGGCAGGTTGGCAAAAGCCAGTCGAGCCTTCTGTAACCGTGCTGAGATTTCGTCAGTCACCAGGCCGTCAGAACTGATGAGACCCCCCAGATAAGTGAAGTGGTCAACACGCTCGAATACTTCACTCCCTATCACTAATTCAGGTGCCAATGCAACTCAGTCTTGAAGCAACATTTTGCATTTCGAGGGGGAAAACCGCATCCCGAACATGCTCGCATTGTTGCTTATGGTAGTCAGAAGACTCTGCATTTTGTCAGCGTCTTCACCGAATAGAACTATGTCATCGGCATATTCTAGATCAGTAAGCGACTTTCCTGGTAGAAGGTCAACCCCTGAAGAGAGTGGACAGCCCTGACGGACACCACTTGATGTAGAGAATTCAGATGACAGTTCGCCATATGCTATCACCCGACCAGTGGTGTTCGAGTAGAGAGCTTGTATAAGGTTAATGTACTTCTCTGGTACACCTTTCAATGACAGACACTGCCACAGAACCTCACGATCCACTGAGTCAAATGCCGCCTTAAGGTCCAGGAACACGACTAACGTCAGACGTCTAAATGTGTGTCTGTGTTCCAGGACCTGTCGTAGTGTGAAGATGTGGTCTATACAACCACGTCCAGGTCGAAAACCAGACTGGTTTTCTCTAGTCTTCTCTTCACGAGCTCTAGTTAGACGTCTAAGTATAATCGAGGCTAACAATTTAGAAACTATATTAGTTAAACTTATTCCCCTGTGATTGTCATAAGAGGACTTCTGTCCTTTCTTGTAGATAGGGACAATTAGCGACTGAGACCAGTCAGATGGGATTACGTCCAGTTCCCAGATTCTACCTAGGATCTCGGTCAGTCTAACCGTTAAAACTGGACCGCCATCCTTAAACATCTCGGGGGTAAGCCTATCGGGACGTGCCGCTCTACCTCCCCTTAGATTTCCTATAGCTTTCTCAACTTCATGTAAACTGGGAGGACTTAAATCGATTTGCCATTCAGGATGACTGGGAATCTAGACATGTACTCCAGAAAGAGCGACAGTCCTCTACCAAACATCTCCATCGGTGACTGATAGCGATGTGATCTAGATGGGTCCAGACCATGGCCTTTAATAGAGATGATCAATCATATAATGAAAGCAATTTGAAAAAAAGAACAGAAGAGCATTCGTTGACCAGTAAACATCTTTCAAACTTACTCTTAATTCAGCTAATCGTCCTTGTGCAATTTCACAATAATCATTCCATCGACTGATGCAAGATTCGATGTACATCTCAAGATTGTCATGATTATTATTCTTGTTATCATTGTCATCATGGATGATATTGTTTGTATAGTCTAAATCCATTTCAAGTATTTCGTCTTCAGTAGCTTTAATATGAATTTCATTGATATGCGTTTTTATTCGATTATTGGTTGATTTTTTCATTAGACTAAACCAATTCGGTTGTGTATTCAGTTGAATTTGTAAAAATTTCACATTTCTTTCAAAAGGCAACAAATCAATGAGTAAATTACAAAAATACACCACAGTACAACGTGATGATATGATATTTTGTACAAAAGGTGCAGAAGAAGAATTATGAGATTGGTGGTGTTGATCAGTGTTACGTATTGTCGATGTTGATGATGAAAACGGTGTACAAAATGTTTCTAACCACCATTGTTTATAATTTATCCCAGTTAATCGATAATCTTCTGAGCATAATTGACGCGCGATGAGTAGAATTGCTATTAACAATTGTTGATCGTGTTTATCGATTGCTGATAAAACGGATTGAGTTGTAGGCATGAATAAATCATCTAATAAGTGTAAATTATCCAAATCAATCTGTTTATTGTTAGCGTGATTGATACTTGAGTGAAATAATAATAATAAAAGTTGATGAATAATAACTGTATAGTGTAGTGTTTGTATCGTTGATGTGTTTTGTGAAAAAGTAAAATGATAAACGAATAATCAGTAAGAGTTGAAAAAGAAAAATTACCAATATGAATGAGAAACATCAGCAGTAAGTGTACACACTAACCTGTGGACAGGAATCGAACTCAGGACCATAAATCCTGAATTGACAATGACTATGTACTTAAAAGTGACTAGCTTCACGAGGGAAACCACAGGGTTTTAGTGAGAAACCGTTACCAGCGGAGTTCAATCGTGTCAGTTAATAGGTGGTTACACACCGAAGATTTTAGTGGTCAGCCGTTGGTTTCGCAACAACGTAGGACTTCGTACATACATAAGTTCAAGTTGCCATACTAGTCACACAGAGAGGTAATTGTGGCCTACAATCTGATTCTGTTTAGGACGAACGACTGAATATGCTGTGAAATAAATTTCTTAACTAATTTTCAGTTTTCATACTTAGGTGAACATGGTTTGTGAGACGGTAATAATAGGAAATCAAATACAGGTTTAGTTTTGTGAGTGCAATTGATGTATTCGCAAATGCACTGAGAATATAAAGCGTAAAAGCAAAGTGGAGGACGTGCATGAAGCAACACAATGTGATGACACATGACTAAGTATTTATAGTCAGAATAAAATAGGCTAAACATGTAATAAGCAAAGTAATCATGCACTGTTACTTAAGTCCGTTACCCTCAATGAAACATAGGCCACTGAACAGAATTCACAAACCTACTCTATCTTGAACCTTCCTTCTTAGTTTTGTTCAATCGCTCATCAGTCTCCTCATGCCTGCCTCCGTTTCTCGATGTAATGAGTTTTTTCGGCCTCCTTATATCCTTTTGGCCTTGAGGATTCTAGCTGAGGTCTGTGTGTGACTGACCTCAAGAAGCTGTCTCTTGTGATCTGATCTGGCACGATAACAGGTCTTTAAAGACCAACGCTAATATACCTTCCTTTTCAGGTTCCGCATGAAACACCTACGGCATGGGCAGCTGGAAAGTCACATCCACCCGTAACAGCACACGAGACCAAATAGGTCCCATTCAAAAAATCATTCCACACATACTTGTAATACATAAAACAAACTTACATTTAACAGTGGTTACACCTCCTTTGATACATGTACTCATAACAGATATCAATTTAAGAATATGAGACCAATTTACACAATCCAAATTACTGTTAGATAAAGTGATTAAAATGCGTTCAGATATGAAGTTTAAATCTAATAAAACAACAAACTGTTGTTGAATTTTTTAAAGAACATCACCAATGAATAACTTACTTGTATAATAGAATATCGCTGGTATGGATTTATTTCCATTAGAGTTAAATATTGCCTTTGAAAGTATTCATATACTTATTGTTATCAAAAATATATATATATATTTCTAAGTGTATACTTGAATTGTTTGATTTTGTATGTAAAAACTCTTCGAATAGATTTTCAATAGAGCGTTTAATCTCTTCAGTTGTATGAATACTACATAATAATTTGTAAATCGAATCATGAACTGTTTCCCAATCTAAAGATAAAATAATAAGAACATGAATAATAAGGAGTGTTTGTTGTGTAAGAGGTAACTCAAGGTCTGAGGGCGAAGTTGTACTGCATATTGTACAGCGACATGGAAATGAATCTGGACAAGCGTCAGACTTAACCACCTTGGAACATGACCATAAAACACAAGGGAAAACTAGCTCATGCCGGCCATTTTATAAAGAGTTAGCGCGTTAGCTGTACTATTCATTTGACCTTACTGCGAAAGACTGAAATCCGTAAGGTAAGGTGAGGTGTGACATTTTGAGGGTCGACCTTTTCTAACCCCTTCCTTTCTTGTGTAGAGGCGGCATCAGTGCCGATGCTCGTTTTCCGGGGGAAACAGCCTGAAGCTGTGACATTCCTCTAAAGTATGACCTCACCCTCAGAACGTGAGTGGCTGCTTTTAGTCTCTCCGTTTTTCAGTCGATGTTTCTGGCATGGTAGGAAGTAGAGGAAGTACATAGGTTCTAGCCAATATAGCTCAGCCGGGTCATTGCGATAGTCAAGCAGCTACGGTTGCGTCAACATTCACAAGTCTGTAGTTGATTCGGCTTATCAAAGTAATTCACTACCGAGTCTTAGAAAATGTCCACCTAGTTGTCTGGTTGTACATACCAATCAAGAAAAATGATGGACACATAAGGTGAACTGGTTATGCTTGAGGATAATTTTCAACAACACAGTATCATAGTGAATAATTTTCAATGATCCAACGCTAAAGAACACGAGTATTACAAAAACAATTCCATTATTTGTAAACTGATCTTTTTACATACATAATTATATGATTATGTAGAGTTAAATTGTTTGAACAATATGAAACACATTTTTGCCCAATTCGCAGTCCTTACGAGCATGATCTAGCGAAACAGACAGCTGACAAATGAATTCCTAGCATGCATTACTAAATCTTAATTAAACTTTCGTTCCTTCAGTCAAAGAAACAAGGTTAGAAAGTCTCAAGTATATGTATTTGCGCATGTACGTGAATACCTAATCAAACAATGAGAAAATAGATATAAAACATCTTTTCCTAACATCCAGACCTTTCACACAACATCGAGTAAAGTAAACCAATTATCGAATATGAAGGTGTAACTTTATAGACCTTGCACAGCTTGTGATATTGATGCGAAATATCGCCTTACATCCACAGCCTAGGCAAAGAGGCTGAAATTTTCATGTAATTTCGCCAGAATTTGCATTCCCTTTTTTTAGTAAAAATGGCTTTTATTTCCTCATTCTGACCTAAGTGGGTGTTGGATACGTTCATATATGGATATTTGAATTACGATATCATTCGGCAGTAATGTTACACTGAGGATTCTCGCAAAATGAAACCTAAACATTTTTACTATGAATACGTCAGCAGTTTTCACTTCGGGCAACTATAGGTAAGTGTATTCATGTCTCTGCTTTAACTAAGAATAGATATTAAGAATAAAGTATGACTATAAGAAGATGGTTATTTAAAATTTAGTGCTACTATACCTGGTTCATCCCTAATTTCCAGGGCATTCATCGCTAAGTTTAGATGACTCGAAAACAAACAGTTGGCCTGATGACCTTAAATTTTTAATGTTGCCGCTTCAAAAATGTTCACTGTATCTCCGTAGAAAGCCTCAAATGGTCTAATTGATTGTAGACAGAAGGGAAGAGGCCTCCATTAATCAGGCCTTGTTATCTAGCACCATCGGATATCCGATGTCTCAGATCAGGAACATGGGTGAAGTTAATGTATAAAAGAGAAATTTAAATAAATCATGATGAAATGTTGTCTTCCGTGCCTGAGAATATTTCGAGTTTATTGATGAGAGATTCGAAGGATATTACTTCGAATCTCAGGAATCCACTGCTCGTAAAAGCTAGAAAGTGTCTGCAGTCCATTCTACTTTTTTGACTCTAATTTCTGTGTATTTCGTTAATGTTTGTGTTGAGATCGTGTTTAGACAAGTAACTAGTGTAGTAGGGGACATGAGTGTTTATGATGATGTGGGTCACTGGAAAGTCACTATTAAGCAGCCTGAACTCATAAAGGTCTGGCTCAGCATGTTGGTTTCTTACTCCTCTCGTATGTTCAATGTGATCTGGAAAAACTAATATCTTAGGCGAAACTGGTTGAAAAATGTCATTTGTATGGAGTGAAAAGAGTATTCCTAGTTTTAAACTCACCCTAATTGAATTTTCTGTAGTGCTAGGGGAGTTGAAGAGAGAAAGTTAGCTATGACTTTATTAGGTAGGCCATTGAAATATGCAGTGACTTCGTACTTGATTGTTTGAACATATTGATGAGATATATGATTGATCATATGAAACCTTTTGAAGGTGTATCATATATTCCTTCTCTATGCAATCAAGAATTTTACATTTGATTGCAAATGATTTCTTTGAGTCACAATGAACTTATGAACAAATCAATATGGCCTTCACCATGTCTAAATATCAGCTTAAACAGCATAAAGTAGTCCAGAAAGAAACATGGAAACTTAATGAAGGCAAGAGAAATAGAAACTATAATAAAATACAAATGTTATCGTCTCAAAATGGAATCGAACAGATTAACAAAATGTACAAACAAAGGAATCATTAAGTTAAATTACAAATGTATACATGGAGGGAATTTCGCAAACAATGCCTTCAAAACTGTATTTTACATCCATTATAACCGCAAATACTGTTTCCCGAATCTGTAATATATCAGAACACAACACCGTTAAATGAAAGTTGTTTATGGGGTCAGAATACAGAATCCAGAATAGTAAAGCTTCACAGACAATGTACATATATATATGCAGTTAGGACGACCATGAATGTTAATCAATCGGAAACGACACGTGAAATATGTAAAATCGTACAGCCAGGACCACCATAAATAATGACCGATAAGAAACGACATGTGACACATGTGGAAAGTCTGAAAATAAGTGAAAACATACTGCTTTACGTCCAATGATAGAATTAGAATTACAAAATAATTTTTGGTACATTCTTATGAATATCCTAACACCTCCATGATTCCAAAAGGATCAGGATACACTGCAATATTTTCAAAGGTGGGACACGATACCAGTTCGAGAGCTAAAGTTGAAGCCTCAACAAAACGGCTGGTAATTTACTTGCCTCAAAGCTTTCGAACTCAGCTACGGTGTTTGCAAGAATGACAACGAAACTAGAGTAATGCCGGAGGTCAGACTACGACAGTGGAGGCACTCACAGAAAAGCAGCTAAATAAAAGTTCTTTCGATCCTTGTCTTTCGGTTGGTCAGGTGACGAATCGATTGTCGCTGGCAGTGAATCGTCCAAGGTAATGAAATTCATTTCAGTATTTAAGGGCCTAGTTTATCCGATTCGATTGATTTTTCTGTACACCAAGTGCTTACGGTCTTCACTTTATTGTCTTAATAAAGATTTGTGGTTAAAAGCAGATCTCTTAACTGTTCCTCGATATAGTCCCTCACTACATACATGAAATCACTTGACCACCGGTGATCTGATTACGGACTTGTCTTCAATAACCTACTCAAGTTCAGGTGTTCAGTCAGTGTTATAATACACAAAAAGAGGTGCCTCGGTAATAATATCTTTGCTTTATCCATACTATTATCTGTTGAGTCATGAATGTGTTTGAAACAAGAATATTTATGGGTCTTCCCTTCACCGCCATTTCTTTATTGCTCTTTTACAGCACCTCATTTTAATCCTCAAAAATAATAAGCCTTGGTTTTGCCGAAGACGTGGTTGCATAACTCAGGATCCTGTCAAGTTGTTATGTGGCGGATATGAACAGGAAGATCATTGCACATTGACCTCATCACTTCTTGTTATTTACAGACCTGAATTTAACTGTCATTGATTGCAAGCTGGCAGTGATTTGTCATAACGCAAACAGCATAACGCAATAATTATTGTGTTGTGCATTTCACAGCCTTAAACATTGCTTTCAATTTTATGTGAAAATATTGGCACACTATGAGGAGCTGGTGTGTCATGTGAAATATTTTTACAACTAAACAACTATTTACAGTATATATATATCAGCAGTTTTAGGATTCTGTTCTATTCGAAGCTGTATCATTAAATTCCTGTTGAGAAACATAATACAGTTTTAAACTAAGGATATAGCGGTGGCAAGGTATTTAGAAAAGCAGGTGGTCAATCGGTAATACATAACAGTTATAAATAAGTAAAAGACAGCGAAATAAAATCAATGGTACGTGAACTTGACACTTTGTCAGAGTGGGAGAAGAAAAATAATAGCATTCAATTATTAATTCCATATAGTTCAAACATGCATAGATCAGATAATATGAAAACAGGGTCAAATTTGATGTTACTGACATTATTGTAACTGATGGTCATAATAGGTCACTGCATCATGCTGTTTGAAATGGATTATATTATATTTGTTCTTTTACGCGGTTTGTTTGAGTAAATGTTCAGTGAATAGTGCTATATATATTCCGTTTGCTTACACATTTCATGTTGATTTTACGACCCCTGAAATACAGAGTAGATTTAGTTGTGAAGCCCATTGACATGCAGTAAGCCCAAGGTGCTGGCGAAGAAAGCTGCTTGCTCTACTTAGCATATTATCTTGAATTGGAGGGTTCTAACGTGTAGTTTTCCGAGTGGTTTCAAGCAATTACATTACCTGATAAGATGAAGGCATGTGAAATAGGTTATTCTTGGAGGTCAAAGATTTGTAACGAGGTGTGTAAGCGTCGGATTTAAAAAAAGTTGAATTTGTTCACTGGTAAATATTTGACGGTGGTTTTCACCTTTCGGCTGATGTTTTTGTACAAGGAAATTTCATATTGATTGATCTAAAGTAGAAATTGGGTTGGTATTTTTCTAAGTGATCAAACAATTCAAGTGAAAAAAGATTGCAGCTGGTTCTTCACAGCTTTTGTAAGTATTTTACTTGAAATATTAGCTCCATTCTTGAAAATGCCTTACCGTTGGAGATGAACCTATGTCAGCCTACTTTGTTATGTTTCTTGGTCGTATGTTCGTCTGATTTTTCTGGCTAATTCATTAACTGATTGTTGATTCTCCAAAGTGCCAAGATTCTGAAAATCGTCTAGTGTTCTTTGTGCTCACATTATCCAGTATTTCGACAATTATACTGTATGATGTATGTCCACAGTTTTCCAAAAATAGTGAAATTAGGGAAAAAATGTTGTAACGTTTGACTGCAAACGCAAAGGACGCTGAAGAACACGTCCTATTTGTCAACACGCTTTTCTTCTTCTGTCATTTTGAACTTTCGTTTGAACAGGACCGTATGGCATTAAAATCCTGATTGATAAGTGTTGGTCTTGGAGACCTGAGAGCGTGACCGCAGAGTCCAAGGGACAACTGCTTGGGGCCGGTCACGCACGACCTTTTTATGAGAGGTTTTTGAGGATTAGCTCCGTTCTCAAAGGCCCTGAGTGGGAAGCCTTACCCAAGGAGACGGAAATCCGTGAGGTAGAGGTGTGTGACATTTTTCGGGCCGACCTTTTCTAACCCTTCCTTCCTTGTGAGAAGGCAGCATCGCTGCAGATGCTGGTTGTCCGAGGGAAACACCTTACTGCTGTCACACCCCTCTACAGTCAGTCAGCAGTACGACTTCGCCCTCAGACCCTGAGTAGCTGCTTTTAGTCTCATCGTTCTCTAATCGACCAGCCTGGCATGGTAGGACCTGCAGGAACATATGTTCCAGCCAGAAAAGCTCGGTTGAGTCATCACGATAAGCAAGCCCGACCACCACGTCAAGGTAGTAGCTACGGTCGTGTAAACTGCTTCACTTATCTTGGGCGTCTCATCAGTGCTGATGGCCTGGTGACTGACGAAATCTCAGCTCGGATACAGAAGGCTCGATTGGCTTTTGCCAAGCTGCGTCACTTATGGCGTAGGCGAGATATCCGTCTGCTGACTAAAGGATGAGTTTACTGCGCAGTAGTTCGCTCCGTCTTACTTTATGGCTGTGAAACATGACCAGTGAGAGTGGAAGTTATTCGTCGGTTACTGGTTTTCGATCATAAGTGTCTTCGAAACAGTGCTCGTATATCGTGGGACAACCTAGTAAGCAATGCTGCCGTTAGGAAACGAGTACTAGGCAAGGATGGCAGATCAATAGATGAAGTGGTGAAACTTCATCAGTTGAGGTGGTTGGGACATATGTTGCGTAGGCCTAACCACCGACTGCCTTGAAGAGCTCTATTTCGTAGTGTAGGAATAGGTTGAAAGAAAGCCAGTGCGGGCCAAACCAAAACATGGCAGAAATTCATGAAGTCACTGACAAGTGGACTGAGCCACGTTGGTAGACGTAGACTACCTGGTTGGGGTCCACGAAACGAAATTCACCGATGATTAGAGACCTTGAGTGACGTGGCTCAAAATCGTTTGCAATGACGCAGGTGCATCTACTCTTTGTGTTCTCTCAAATCCTAATCTTCTGGATTCTTCAACAATTCTAGTTTTGACGTACTAAACTTTTCTCACTGAATCATACTTCTTGAATAATATCTTCTAATCCTAACCTGTCCGATTACTTCTAATACCTTTACTACTTCTTCTACTATAGGATTTGAATTGACAATTATATCTCTGTG